TTTCAAAATTAAATCTTTACATCATAATCAACTGGACAACTAGTAAGAAAAACTGTATAATTACAAAGAACTTAATTTGTAGAAAAATTCATAACCTACTCAAGAAACACCCTAAAATCTGACATTACATTTTACATTTAGATAATATACTGTCAGCCTGCCAAGGATACATCTTAAAAAACAGGTCATACAGTTCTAAATACTACTACTTTAATACTATAAAACCAATTTATAATCTTTAAGTAGACTGTAAAAAAAAAATTCATACCAATCTTAATAATTTTAAAAAGGTATTAATTTTAAACATGTCAGCAACAAATCGATCTCAAAAACATGAAATGCACCTAGTCTTAGCCAGACCTTTATGTTCATTCAACAACTCTCTAATACTACTTTGGAACATAATGATAAAAAATAACTTTAACAAAAAAATAATAATGTTATACATAACTAGTAGTTGATACAAAATAGATAACAACTCTTATATAATTATAAGTTGTAGTTTCCAGCATCTCAACACCTCATTTAGCTATTATACCAACTGTTGGCCCTCTCATTTAAACACTTCATTAACTTTGTTAACCTTCATGTTTACTACAATAAACCCAAGTGCCAACATAAAAATATTTACTAACAACTTCTCACTTGTAAACATAATCACTTTTATATAATCAGTCCAATCACATAACTACTCCAACTTAAATAAACAGCAACATGTTTACCTTCTTTTAATATTAAAAGCAATAACATATAATCAAACTCTAATAATTACATTGGACAAAGAACTCAAAATTCCACAAGTACAAAACAATATCTTTTCATTAGATTTTATATTGCAAAAATTTCTATATAACTGATTTGTCTTAAAGCTTCTTGGCAACCTCTCTAAATATCTACTGAAAACTACTCTGAAACAAATTCATTAAATTACAACCAGAAAGACTTGGTTCAACTAGCAGTGAATCTCATACTGGCATATTTCACAAAACAAGATCAACTGATCACTAACTCTGCAATACTTTTACACAGAGAAAAACCTCTCAGCTTAGTGACTAATTCTTTCTTTTTAGTACTAAAAAACTTTAAAATAAAATACTCTCAAAAGAACTATCCATCCATCTCTTGCTTTACTGGAGAAATTCTACCAAACATCCAAACTATCTCTATTCAAGGTACTATAGTGCACTAGAAGATATAATACACTTCTTAACTTACTTCTAAAACCACACAAGTCTTGCAATCTTAATAAAAGATACAGTACAAAAAACATTGAATGACTTGTAAATACCATGTTATGAAATTCATAGATTTATTCAAGCCTTTATTTCAAACTATATCAATAAGCATATGCCATTAGAACTAATAACTACTAAAATACTGGTATCTCTTGAAAACAACAAACAAAAAATTAAACATGCTTCTCTTATACATCACAATATTATTACTATAATATATAAAGAGCTTTGTCTTACCTTAAGAGCAGTACAACATAATTTAGTTTTTCCAAATCCATTATCACTACAGGTTCCAACATTAGCTAAAACTAAACTAATTCCAATATCAGTATTAAATGAATAAATACAATACTTTATTACTAATAGACATTCTTCTTTTTATCACCTTATCAAAGACTAGAGATTTACCAATTATTTTAGCAAAGAATAGATTAAGAGTAAAGTAGCTCTTATCTCCATCTTCTCTAATTTAGTTTCTTTAACATGTATCTTATATATATAATTTGATTAATTATTAAGAGATAGAGAATAGATCTCTCTTTAAAAAAAATAATAATAATAATCTTATAATCAATATACTAATAGTTATAAAAAATGTTCTTGTCAATATGTCATTATCTCTTCTATAGAATGATCAAATAATCATCTCTTTTGGTATCTCTAATTAGTATAAAACCAAAAAAAAATGAAATATCTAAAAGTTATGTAGTGTTATAAGGTTTGAAAAAATTTCTAAAGTTTTCATCTATATGGCACAATAAGAAAAATTATTCTAAGAATACATTTTTACAAAAGTGTTGCAAATATGATGTTGGCAATAAGTAATTATGTTTTGAGTTCTTAATTAAAGTTATAGAGTAAATGTCTATGATTTCAATAATAATTGAAACATTAAAATTTGTCTAGTTGTTAACATTCTATGATGATTTAAAGAAATTCCAAATCTCTTATTTTTTTCTTTCATCAGTTTCAAGAAGGATTTTATAAGTATAGAAAAATGTTGTCATTATTTTGAAACTGATTTGTGGTTCAGTGAAGCATTTTATATTATGATATAGTATAATAAAATTTGTAAAACATCCTTCTGTGAGTATGCTGATATGTGTTATATCTCTATAGAATTTAAACTTATCGAGATATTAAAGAAAAACAAAATGTATTTAAAATCATTATTGTAAAATTTCTTTTCTCTTTTTCTTTTTTTTTTTTTTTAGATATTCATACTAAGTTAATAGATTTTAATACTTAGATAAAAAATATAAAGGGACTTTCTACGAATCTAAAAGAGGTGAGTTCATCCAAAATGGACAAGTAAATAGTGAGATATTAAGGATCAAAGTTTGTGTACTGATATTCAAAAAAAGAAAATTTTAAAGAAATTGTTTGTAACAAGAAGGAAGTTAAAACTTTAATGATTTATAAAAGATTAGAGAAACATTTTATTACTAAGTAACTTATATATCAAAATGTAAAGAAAATGTTCAAGAATCTAAAGAAGATGGGATTTGAAAATAGAATAAAAATTCATAGAATGATGATTAATTAATTTTTCAGTTTTCTACCAAAGAAGATTTGTTAGATTCATCTAAAAATTTTTTTATATTTTTACTAGAAAGTACCAAATATTATAAAGTGAAAGCCTTCTTAATACTACACTATAACAATAATACAGCATAGAGAATTCCTTATAGGTATATGTGATGTCTAAGAGAGAAATATAGTTTTTGTTAGACATTATCAAAAAACTATACTTATCTTTAAAGCAGTTCAATAATTATTATATAGTAGTTTATAGTTAAAGTTATTTATTAAATAATTGCAAAAAGAATTATCCTTAGATGTCTGTCCTAAAGGATTCAGAATATAAATTATAGAATAAATAAGAAGAAGAATTGTTTATTTTTTATTGACTAAATTCCTCTTTTTATTTGAGAAAATTTAGAGAGTTTATATATCTGTAAGCTAAGTGACTAAGTGACTAAAAGACTAAGCGACCAGTTTCATTAAAACTGGTTTTATTAAGGAACTAAGTGACCAGTTTTACTAAGGGACTAAGCAACTGGTTTTACTAAAGGACTGAGTGACTGGTTTCACTAAGAGACTAAGTGTTTAGTTTCACTAAGGGACTAAGTGACTAGTATTACAAGCTTAAAGCATTAAAATGTTTAAAACATTAAAGCAACTATAACTAATAAATAATACAATAATAGAAATCTATCCTATAACAGAATTAATAAAACTTTTCAAATTACTAATTTAAATAGCCTAGTAGATATACTTTTGTATTTTTTTCTTTTAGTAAATCTAGTAACCTGATTAGTATATATGCTTTTCTTACAACTTGTTAAACAGTTTATTTACCTATTTCTTTAAAAAATAATTATGAATTTTTATTAGTTTAATAATACTATCAAAAGTTCATACTATTTCTTTATTAAGAAATTTTTAAATAAACTTTTAACTTTTAGTTTCTTAGTTTACTGTATCTGGTAATCTTATTATAGATTTATACTAAAATTTTATACAAAATCAGTTTTAATATTTCCTTATATATATATAATATTACACTTTATATAAATGTTTCAAGTTTTTATTTCAAATAATATAACTTCAAATTACAAATATGAGGATGAGTTAATAGAAAAAGACAAATTTTTTTTAAGTAAAAGTTTTCTTGACTTTAAACTTAAATATCTTAACAACTATTTTATTAAATTTAATAAATTTTTCATTATTTTAATTCTATATAATTTCAAGATTAAAATAAAAAAAAATTTTAACAAATTTGATTAAATAGTTGTTGAGTTATTTAAATTTAAAAATTAAAAAAATTTCGCTAAAAATGATTTGTTCCTTTTCTATTAACTTCTTATGTCAATCCAACTGATCATAGTATATTGTTTTTGAATCTATATTATAAACAATTTTGGTATAAAAAATAAACACAGCTAACTGTTTTAATGTTTAATAAATCAATTATACGTATTAAATAGAACACCCACAAGCAGGGATTAGATATAACATCTAATGAATAACCTAAAGGCAAAACCCTTAATTAAACAATAACTAAAGTTGTACATATGACTAGCTGTACTCTCACTGATTAACCACTTGTTTAAAAAAAAAACAAAACCAAATATAATTATATTAATATTTTAATGAATATTATTATAATAAATTGACAATATTACGTAATTTTCGAAATTTTTTTGGGTGACGATTTTACCCCGGTCTACTATGTTCTTTCGGGAATCTGTCTTTCAGGATTTCATAATAGAACCATCTGATATTTATCTGATATCTGATATACTATATATGCTGTAGTTATGACTTACATTAATGCTACAAACAGCTTATTTGGAGCCAGCTTTAACTGCATAATGGAGCCAAGCCGACCTAAGCCAGCTTAAGTTGTGGCCTGAACTATAGTTTAGAGCCAAGCTTAGTGATGGCTCAACTTAAGCTGCGGCTCTTTTACATAAGCATACGTAATCTGCTATCAGAGTGTCATGTTTCTATTGGATCCATGGCTTGAGCCACAGCTCGAGCTATGGCTCAAACTGTGGCTTCAACAGCCATGGCTCAAGCTGGAGCCATGGCTTTTGAGAGCCAAGCCAAGCCAAGCCATACAACTCTACAAGATCACATTGCTAGTCCCGTGTAACCATTAGTCAGATCTAAAATCAAAAATTCCTATTGCAATTGTCACCGCTATTCATATACTGTATAGAAGCAATATACATAACTTTGCATCAAATCCTGATCATGTCTTCGCCAGAGGAGCTCAACTTCGAATCTGGAAATGTAAAATTATCTTTAATACAATATCGAAATACGTTTAATCATGGCACTACAGTATGGGATTCTTCTGTGATAACCGCTTATTATATGCAAAGCCTCTTAAATTCATATAATCCAATTAAAAAAAACATGACTTGCATAGAACTAGGTAGTGGTTGTGGTCTATTAGGTTTAGTGATGTGCTCTTTAGGATTTGAAACAACTTTGACTGATTTAGCTGCCGTCGTAGATGATGTATTAAAAGAAAACGTACGACGTAACTTATTTATTTTCAATAATCAACCTCAAAATAATGAAAATTTTCAACATAAAGCTTACGTTAAAGTATTAGATTGGACAACACAACTTTCTTCCGATTTTACTCCCCCATATGATTATATCGTTGCTTCTGATTGTATCTATTCATTGGACCTAATTCCTTATTTTGCAAAATGTTTATATGATCTTTCTGGCGACAAATCCGTAATCGTTTGTGGAATGGAAAGAAGAGATCCGATTGTTATAGATAACTTTTTGAATGAATGTAAGGAAAAATATTCTTTTAATATTTCTAAAATTCCTGTTAGCAAAGTAAAGAAAATATTAAAGAGAATCAATAATTTGAATGACGAAAAGTTAACACAGGTGGAGATTTATAGATTAAAAAAGATCGATGTTTAACGTTAATTTAGCTTTTTGACTTATTTAAATAAATGATTTACTACTCTATATATGGATTTATGTAATTTTAATTAAACTTAAAACTTTTTTTAATTTCGATTCAAATTTTAATCCTAAATTCTAAATTTATAAACAAAATATATGTATTTATTCTGAGCATTCTTATACAAATTATTTGACTCGTTAATATGGCTTTTTGAATGAACTGATGAAATTATCGTATTTATAAGAATATAGCATAATCGATTATTTACTTTATGTAATGTATTTTTTATACGGTTGTGCCAACTAAGAATAATAATGAGCTAATTTTTAAGACTCGAACTAAAGAATTAGATAAAATTATAACCGTCTTAACGATTAAATTTGCAAAAAAATACACTAAATATGACAACCGATAATTTTATTATTATAACATATATATAAATCACATTCATACCATGCCATATGCTCTATTAAAAATTATCTTAAATTTAATCTTTATTATTAATTGTAAAGTATATTCAACCTAATTATTATCTACAATATAATAATATTTAAAATACATTCACTTCTAAATTATTTGGTTTATGAAGTTTCGAGCTATCTTATTCTGTCTTATTTGTTTTCCTTTTTATTATTATGTGCCTATGCATAAAGTATATTTTTTTATAATAATCGATTCTACAAGAAATTTTAAAGATCCTTGACTGCTGTAAAAAAAGATCATAACCAATTTTTTAAATTTTTAATTGAGAACCAGTAAACCTTATAAACAGAAGCATTTGTTTCAGAAGTTTGACCAATTACCTTATGTCATAGTTAGAGTCACGAAAAAGGTCAATTGTCATGCAATAACAAGAATCAAGAAGGCATTATTTCATGTTTATACGAGTACGCATTCTTTCGAAAAAAATTCTTTTAAGCTAATCCTCGTGGGCTCGAACCAAAGGCAATTTCTTGACAATCGGCTCCAGGAAAACCACCTCGTAAGATAATCTCACAACAAGTAGCTTAAAAGTCTTGGTTGCTAATTAAAGGATTTAGCACTAATTCCCTTACTGTTCATTACCTTGTCTCGGTTGTGACGTTCACGTAATTGAGTGGAATGATCAACATTTCTACTTACGTATATACATACCAATAATATCAATATCGATATAGTTAAATTTGAAGTAACAGTAAAAAAAAAAAACAACAAACTTGAAGTATCTTTCTACTAGTCTCTGATGTACATACTTTTAGCTACACGGCTAATAAGGCAATATCACCATGTTTTTAGCGTATTGTAGGCTGGTATATTGGCTGTGTATGAGTTCTTTTTGTTGCCGCATTTAGTACTCGGGTATAAATCCAAACCACGGCACTTGACTTAATTTGTAGCCGCCGGAAGATTTGTATAAATCGATCTTTAGGCAGAAGTTCGTTTTTATTGGGCATTACTAGTTTTGCAAGCCTAATTTCCACCTAGTTAGGGTTTTTTTTACGTAATGGTATTGAAATATAGTCCGGGTCTTAATCTGAAGGTACCATTCTAGAAATACTAAATGCAGCGCCCTAAGGTACTAATCTTTTTTACGGTATTAGTTTTTTTTAGTAGTTCTGCTTTATTTATTTAGATTATGCTACGATATACATGAGCATATATAGTAATACCTTTATAAGTGCATGCTTTGGAACCGAACTTTAATAATGTGCACTTAGAAAACAATAAGAAAAAGTGCATTTATAAAGGTTATATATAAATTTGTATCCGAATTTAAGCGTGCATTTAGAAAAAGTGTGTACTTATAGAGGTCTTACTGTAATCGTATTTAGTTGCATTTAGGCCTTATCCATGATGACCAGGTTGATTTTTCTCCTTTATTATATTCAAAATGTTTGTGCTTGCCAGAGCTCGTGTTTCATTTTCTTTCGCTCTACTTTTTCATTTTCTTTAGATAGACTGGTCTTGTCTTTTTCTTCTTTTCGGTGTACATTAGTATCTAGTAATAAAGAAATTGTTAGTTGTAAACGCAAACATAATTTTCCAACTTCGTTTGTAAATTCACAATATTTTTCTTATTACCTAATATAAACCTTCTATTAAAAATGTCCAAGGGTACTAAAGTGGTAAAATTAACCAACGCGTCACAATAAAAAAAAACAAGAAATATGTGGCCAATCGGATTGCTCAATCAGTTTGATGAAAATTTTACTTTCACGTGTCGTGTCCCATTATATATATCGATATCTAATTGCAGGATCTATTTCTGGCTTGACATACATACGTACGAACTTTCTAAGGTCATATACCTATGGTCCGTAAACTTAAATATCATGAGCAGAAATTGCTCAAGAAGGTTGATTTTCTCCAGGTAATATAATAAACATTCCTTTTCTTTTATTATGCTTACAAGATTTAAAATTTAACATTTTGATTTTTGAACAGTGGAAAAATGAGGATAATATTCGAGAAATCAAAGTTATTCGTCGTTATCACTTGCAAAAACGAGAAGACTATCACAAATACAATAAATTATGTGGATCAATAAAAAAACTTGCAAATAAAATTTCTTTATTAGATCCACGAGATCCTTTTAGGAATAAACAAGAGACTGCATTATTGGATAAGCTGTATTCTATGGGCTTAATTACGGCTAAAAAACAGTTTAGTCAAGTTGACAAAATTACCGTTTCTGCCTTTTGTAGGTGAGACATAAAATTTTTGTAGTAAATTTATTTGAATAATTATATGGTTTGGATAAAAATTAAGATGCTGGTGAGATTAAACAGAACGGTGAAATAACTTCACCACTATTTGTGAAATTGGTGTTGAATTGGCGAAATTTGATGAAATTAATTTCACCAGCATTTCTGGATAAAACTATGGGATTCTGTTTAAAAAAAATCTTTGTATTGATATTAGGCGGAGACTGCCAATTGTAATGTGCCGTTTAAAAATGGCTGAAACGGTAAAAGAAGCAGCTACTTTTATTGAACAAGGTCACATTCGTGTTGGACCAGAAACCATTACTGATCCCGCGTATTTAGTCACGAGGTACTTATCATTCTTTGTGTGTTATATTTTGTAAGTGCATTTGGAATTTCTTAGAATTTTTAGGGTTAGGGTAGGTTTATATAAATAAATTCTACTCTAAAATTGTAATTTTATTAAGAAATTCCAATCCACCTGAATTCCGTTCCCACTTACAACAAATACTTATGCATTATAATTGTTAATTTATTAACTTTGAATAGAAATCTAGAAGACTTTGTTACTTGGGTAGACACTTCAAAGATAAAACGCAAGATCATGAAATATAATGATAAGGTTTGTTAATCTCAATTATATTTGCACATTATATATATCTGTTAGCATAATCACTCACGCTTTTTTCATGCTTAAACATAGCTTGATGATTTTGACCTATTATAAATTAGAGCACAGATAATAGAAAATCATTGTGTCGAATATACAATTTTATACAATTGAATTATTTTTACGCAAATTTATTATTAAGATTTTGTAAACTTGTGACGACGTGTAAATAGTATATTGCTTTAAAAAAAAAAAAATCCAATTTTGTGAAAACACAAAGCTTAATTAGCTTAATTAGTTACTTGGAGCTGCCAAAGGATGAATATATGGCTAAGCTGGAGGAAGAGTCTAAAATGTACGGGGATATTTGAATATTTCAATTGGTTAGATAAGCATGCGAGTATTCTTGTTTTGTTATGAGGCTGCGAACGCCAATAATCATTCATTATCTTAAATGCGCTCAGAGGGAGGATAATTGTATGGTCAAATCGGATGATGAAACTTTCAACCACCTTATTCACTACTATTGTGGCCCAAACTATTATAGTTTGGGTTTGTCCACGCCAAATCCCAGATCTGGCCAAACTAATCTTTCAAAAACTTTATTAAACAAATAAATATTCCACTTTTTTTATTTAATTTTTTAATAAATAGCAATTGTTGTTGACAAGTATAAACGTGCGTACTGACACGCTCTAGGATATGAACGTAGAATATGTAGGTTCGTTCCCGAGAAACAATAGCTAAATTCCTTGAGTTTTTTTTCATGCTACAAACAAGTTTAAAATGGATCGATCTTTTTTTCTTTGAACAGATATAAATTTTATTTACAGTGTATCGTAGATTCCAAAGTATCTTAAAATTTTAATTTATATGTATATATACAATATTTTATTGCAAATGCACATATGCTTACAATAAAAAATTACAATAAACCGAATTTCACAAATTATTATCAAATTATTAAAGAGAAATTACCACAAATCTGATGCCCTTGGTCGATTTTTAGTTCGATTTATAGATTGTGAACCAGCTTGCGCAGCTATACTTTGAATAGTTGGACGATTGATCAAATCGCGTTTATATGATCTTTCATTAGTTTTATTTAGTGTTTGATCAGTTTTATTTGATGTTTCATCAACTTTTTTCTTTTTTTTCTTATGTTTTTCTTCTTTTTCATCCACGTCGCTTTCATTCTTGTGTGACCGTTTCTTCTTTTTTCGGGAACTACTAGTTTCTTGATGTTTCTTTTTCTTTTTCTCTGTTTTATGTTTTTTCCGAGAATGTTTATGACTACTACGTGACGAATTTTTATATGAATCACTTTCTTCACTTGATACTGATGATTTATCATCATCATGTTTCGATTTCGTGTCATATTGCATATCCTTCATATAGTCCGTATATTCCTTCATAGATGGTCCAATAAATGATTCATCGTCGAATGATAGCGATCCCTTCATCATTTGGTTCTTGCTCTTTGATGAACTCGATTCTGATTTTGTTTTTACTATTTCGGCAGAAGATACATCACCTCCACGATCTGATTTCTTTTTAAACATTGGTCTAAATGGTGTAGCACTAACTTCTTCATCTACATTATGTGAAATAGGTATTGGTGATTTGTCTTTGATCGTATCTTGAGGCTCCGAATCGCCAATTACTAGATTTGGGGGCTATATGAATATGTATAAAAAAAAAGGTCAATATGAAATTGATATTTTAAAAATCTGTATATATATATAAAATATACTTTTTTATGTTTTGGGGCGTCATCATCGTCTTCTGAACTTGAATCACCAAAAATGGATTTAAACAGTTCCATCGCAGGGCGTGTATACGGTTTTTTATCAGCTTCTTTTGTATCATCTGGTTGGCTAGGTTCAGCAAGTGCAGGTTCAGGTTCTTCCCGACTTGTACCAGATACAGAAGATTGACTATTAATGCTACTGGACACAGTTGTGCTAGTTCCTGGGAAATTTTGTGCGTCTTTCTTATTGAGAATTTCATCCATCGTCTCTTTGCTGAGTGCTGCTTTTTGACCCTTTTGGGTCTTACCAGAGGTTGAATTTTGTACATGATCTGGATGCGGATTTGCTACATTAAATCGTTTACACAGAAGTCTGTTTGGATAAAACATTGATTTTGTTCTCGTAAGTGGACCAAACATATTCATTCTTGCCGCTGCCTCTGCTGTTGATTCATCGCTAACTTGATTTGTATCTTTCTGCTTAATTGGAGTAATATTTGAATTATCTCCGGCACCTGCTCTTAGACCGGGAGTAGGCTGTTTGAATTCATCAGCAGGTTTTGTGCTAGTGACGAACCGTGATGCAATCATTTTTGACATTGGACGAAATATCCTTGCCGCTTGAGAAAATTCATCTAGCTCTTTTGAGAATTCATCTACAGTTAAATCCTATAATAATGATATAAAAATTTCAATACTTGGTATATAAAATACAATATTTAAATAATATAAACCTCTGGTTGTTTTAATAATTCAGGGGCTATCAACTCTGCATGTATTTCTAGATATTTTTTATATCTCGCTTGCTTTTTCTTATTATCCTCGAAAGGAATAAACCCTTTCAAAGCGGCCAAAGCAACATCTTTTTCTATCTTTGGAATTTTAACTTCAGGAGGTTTATTAATGTTTTTATCGCCTAATGTATCAATTACTGGTCTAATTATACTATCTAGTCTTTCTTTATCTTTTCGAGACACATAGTCAAATACAGAACGTGCCGGTGCATTTAATGGTGATTCACCTAGTAATGCGCCACGCTATAATAAAAAATACTATTTATTAGCACAATAAATAATTGAATATGATGCGTGTTCTTATTATATTCAACAGTTACCTGTTCTGCAACAATCGCTAATGTAGTCTGCTTTTGTTTTATATTTTTTTTATTTGCATCTTGGATATATTGGTTATCAGTTTCAAACTCATGAACTGGAACGTATCCTGGAGGAAGATCTGGTGGACTGAACCTGTAATGACAAAATAATTAAAACCAATTCATCAATAATTCAAAATGACCTCATAAACAGAATAATAACTTATATTACACAAATTACCATTTGTCAATCGGGAGAGGTTTCCTGGCTAGCATAAACCCTCGTAATGGTTGAGTCCCATCATGGCATAACTTATTATCCGAAAATAATGACTAATAAAAAAAAATTTTTTTAATAATATTATATTTAAAGAATATGAGTTAAATACCAATTAAAATCTCAAATACTTTTTTCATTGAGGATTCTGTAGATAGGTTTGACACTTTTGTGTATTTCCTGTTTCCCATCATTATGGTATCTTCGTCATCCTCATCCATTAGTGAAGTATGAAAATCGGACATTGATGTTCCTCCATACACATCATCATCATCATCATCAAAAACACCGGTTCCTATCGCACCTAAAATTATAAGTTTGTTAATAATTATTAGCAACTATTTAAAAAATCCAATCGAAAATAAATAAATAAATACATACCTCGCATAGGGAAAGAGCTTTTCGGCCTGTCTTTATGGAGATAACTATCGCCTAAATAAGGTTATATTGTCGTAGTGATTTTTTGCAATAAATTTAGTTTAAAATCATCTTGGTAATAAAAATATTAGGTACCTTTACTAATACTTGATTGTACAACAAATTCTGGAGCATTCTCGAACGGATTAAATCCAAGACCATAATTGTTGCTTTTTTGTTCAAAACTTACAATAGAAGTATTCTTAGGAGCAAACAAAGCATTAGGCATTTGATCATCATTATCTTCATTGTCAATGTCTTCAAATACTATAAATTTAAAATATATTGTTGTTTTAATTAACTGATTACAGATAATAGGATTCGATATATAAATATATATTTAAATACCATCATTGTCTTTTTTTTTTCTTTTAACACGAGGACCTATGCCTTGACCCTCTCTCCACCCCATTGCCTTTAATAGGCGTATTCCTAAAAAAAAAAAATAGCGATATTAAATAAAATACCCAATTTAAATCATAACGTGAAATTTTCTAAAATATTATTCGTACCTACAGGTTCTTTACTCGGTAAGACAAGATCATCAATGAATTTATCAGGAAGTGCACCGAGAACACTAATAACAATCGAATTTGAATATCAATAGAATTAGTATGATCGCATTAATAATCATAATAATAATAACCAGAGAGATTTATACTTGCCTTCCACTTGCATCCATGGAATCTGCCAGTGCTCGTTTTCTTTCTAAATCATGTTCTGTCGAACCTATGGAATCAAATTCTTTGGTAGCGACAAGTTGCTTTTGTCCAAATTCCTAATGAATGAAACAAGTTATAAAAGAAATAAAAGGAAAGCGATTAAAAATATATATATTAAACTGATTTCTAAATACCTCTAGGTCTTCTTCATCCATAAAATCTTCGGGCTTGAAAACCTGCCTTTCTGTTCTGTTTTTTCGAGAAGACACAAAAGAAGAAGGAGCCCAACCTGAAAAGAATAAACGTGTACATGTTAATTCATAACATTGGAAATGATCAAGTTTACGAGAAACTTACCTTCTTTAGATCCAACTGTATTGAAATATCCAGCAGACCAACCTCCTTTAAAAGCGCCATGAAAACGTCGCAATCCTTGTTCATCGCGAACCTACAAAGAAGATATTTAGAACAACGAGTAAAAAAAGTTAATATTTAGTTTGAAAAAAGGTATACATACTTCTTGTTTCCAAACAGGTTGAAATTTTCCTTTATCTTTTTCACCCAAAGCGGTCACATCGGGAAGTTCAGTTCCATAAACAACGAAAGACTCATTAGAAAGATCGTCATCCTCACTGTCATCTAAGACTTTTGATTTTGCTTTGTGCGAAGACATTGTATAGTTTGATTATGAATACCCAAGAATTAGATAGAGAAAAATATTTTGGTTTCATAAGAAGAAATTCATTCATGTGATTACTTGAATCTTGACCAATCAAATCGATGAAAAAAAATTTTAGAGGGTCAAAAATATATATTCGTTAACGTTAACGTTTAAAACCAGATCACAAAAAAATACTATAATAAACAAAAAAAAATGACCGATATCCTTCAGTCTAAAAATATTCCAATTATCGATTTTTCATTATTCGAAACGAATCAACCTCTTTGTGCACAACAAATTAAACTCGCTTGTGAAAATTTGGGTTTTTTTTATTTGAAGAATCATGGATTTAATGAAAAAGACATTGAAGAAGTATTTCATAATGTAATTTTTTTATTTTTATTTTTTTTCATAATAGATAATTCATAACTAGTACTCCGAATGGGTTGACTGAAACTGACTCATTATAATAAATTTAACATATATAGTCCATAATTAATGACCTATATACGTATAGTAAATTTATTATAACGAATAATTCATTCAGAGTGGAGCTTGGATCCGGTCATCCGTTTTCATATTAAATTTAACGGATATCTGACGGATTTTATTATTAAATTTTGTATCAAACTGATAACTTGATCCAAGTTCTAATCCATAGTACTCATTATTCATAACTTTATAATAAATATGATTTTTTCTTTTAAATAGACTAAACTTTATTTTGATCAACCTCATGAAGAAAAACAAAAATTTAAAATAAATGAACATTATTACGGATATATTGATATTCGTCAAGAATTACTTGATCTTGAAACTCAAAAAATTGGAGATCATAAAGAATCATTTAATTTTAGTAAATTTAATGATAATGATGATCCTTTGGCTCAAGTTTTGCCTCCTTTATTTCACGAAAGGAAATCCTTATTTTCATCGGTTTCTAAAGTATGATACTTAAAAAAAATCATTTATTTATATAATAACTTGTTAATTAATTTAATTTTAATTAATTAGAGTTATTATATTTTTAATATATATATATATATTTATGAATAGAAATGTCATGGATTATGCTTGAAAATATTACAAGCTTTAGCGATTGCATTGGAAATACCACAAAGTGAAGGTGACAAGTATTGGTTTGAATCAAAACATAGTTATGATTTAAAATCTGGAGATTGTTTACGAATTATTCATTATCCTCCAACGGTAATTGATAATGATCAAAAAGATATTCGAGCTGGAAGGTATTAAATAATTTTTTAAAAATCTTGACAAATAATTTTTAAAAAAGAATTTCTGACAAACCATTTCTTTTTATAATAGTCATTCTGATTATGGTTCGTTAACGGTCCTTTTTCAAAAAGATATTGGTGGTCTAGAAATTCAACCTCATAATTCAACAGAATGGGTTTCCGTTCCTGTTATTCCAAATCATGTGGTAATAAATGTTGGTGATTGTTTACAATTTTGGACAAAAGGTTTACTCAAATCTATTAAACATCGAGTTGTTTTTCGTAAAGATACTCGTGATTTAGATAGATACAGTATTGCATACTTTTTTCATGCTGGTTCTGATGTTATATTAGATAGTATTCCTTCACAATTAATTCCTCAAGATAATAATACAAAATATATCACTGCTGGTGAACATTTACAAAATAAGCTAAACGTCACGTATCAAAAAATTTATTAAGTGTAAATAATAAAGCTACGATACATCTAAATAATAAGTGTAAAAGAAACGAATATTATAATAAATAGATCTTTTTGAATTGTAAACCGCCAAATTTGCAAATAATGTATGATTTATTTATTTATTGTATATTAAAAATAATCAAGATGAAAAAAGACCAAGTTCCTGAATAGCAGCCGACAGTCGTTTATAATCAGACAAGAGCTCTAATAATTATAAAATTTTTTATTAATTTTATGAAAAAATATAGTTAACAATATATCACAATATATAAGGTTAATCACGGACCTTGCACATCCTTCGCACGAAATTCATCATCTGGGCAATCTAAAAATCGTTTAATAGGTGGTGCTATCTTACGATGTTGGTTACTTGCTCCATTATTTTCTTCTTGATTTTCTACTTTATTTTCTTTTATATTTTCTTTTTTATCTTCCTTATGTTCTTCTTTATGTTCCTATACAAGATAACAAAAATTGGTTTGTTTAAATTGTCATAATACATACACGTTGGTTAATTTTTTTAAATATATTACCTCTTCCGGATGAGTACCACCACTACTGAACCGTGGAAGTATGTTAAAAGAAGGAAGTAAACGTTCAGTCCTATAATTTAAATTAATTTATTAAAATTTATTATGAATCGATAAGAAATACATAATAATTATTATATTTACAAGGATTTAGGCTCATCAATTTGAGAATTTCCCCCATTTTTGTTCTTTTCAGCGTTATGTTTATCAGGGCTCATTTCTGCTAATTCCTTTTCTATAACTTTTGCAGGTGGATCAGTATTTATACTAACATCTTTTGAATGAGTCATAGAATTGGTAGTGTTTGGTATCACATCATGTTCTTTTTCAATGTCTCCTGTTGATGTCGATGTGGCATTCGCAGTAGAGTGCTCATTATATCCAAAAACACGACCGATCATCTTGTATGAAGTATCTACAACTCCTGTGATAACTTTAAGACCACTGTCGGCAACGCCAACAATTTCTTGTCCAACTCTACGGCTGACCCTCTGTTCTATAACTGTTGGTGTGGTTGGGACTGAAGGTATTTGTTCACTAGAAATGTTGAAAATAAATTTTCTTATTATTCAATCTTTTTAAAATATCACAATTAGCTACAAAATAGATTAAATAATCTCAAGATAAAATACCTCAAAGGCTTATCAGATGGCAAATCTAACTCCTTAAGATCCATTTTTCCTAAAAATTCAACGATTGCTAACTAAATACGAGTAATTATATTTTAATACATCTTATACCCAATGGACAAAACATACGAATTTATCGATTATTTATTAAAATAAATTAATTATACCAGATTTGTTAGACAGTAAGAAGCTTCCCCACGCAACAAACTTCGTACTCGATACCTCTGCATGAATCTGTACAAAAAAAAAATTAAATGTAAAAAATTTGTTATAGAAACAATATTCAATATAGAAATTTTCAATTGTGCTTAATAATAACCTCAAATTTGAAATCAATTTTTTAGGATTAGATTTAACAACAATATAGATCAATAAGGGAAATATCGCATCAGCATTAGGATTATTAGTCTTTTCCTCCGAAGGAAAGGTTGGGGATTTTGGTGAAGTTGGTGCTGAAGACGTGAGAGATGTAGGTGAAGATATCAGTGCAGGCGAATCGGATGTTTGTGGTAAGATATTTGGTAATGGCACTGTAGATGTGTCTTGAGCAGCGTTTGTTTTATCGCTTGATTCATTTGAATTGCTTGGAGATTTTTGTAATTTTTTCTCAAGTGCATCTAAAAATGAAATGTTATTTTTATAATCAGCACAAAACAAAATGTAGATTTTAAAAGTGAAAATGAGGTGTAAAGCGAAAAAAACTTTTGTAACCTTACCAACCACAATCCTATGGCATCTAATAATTATTTCGAGTTTCTCATATGGAGCCTTCGTTTGAACCAAATTTTGTAATTCTTTTCCCGCCGTTTGAACAGCAATGTCTATCTGCTCTTGCTGCGGATTAACAGCAATACCAAGATGTGAAAGACCTAATTTGTAGAAATTTAAAGCAGCTATTTTTGATCCTAAAGTATCATCCGCCGAACCATCATCAGCCCACTTTGGACAAAATATGCTTTAAAAAAATATATAATTATTATAAGTTGATATCATGGTATACACATATATTAATTAAACATAAAATTTAATATAAAATTTAATATATATAAAATTTAATACATACTGATCATAAAGTACAGTGCATACATATTTTTCAACAAGATTCATAGATTCATCTATTTCATTTTCATTATCATCCTCTTTTTCTTCATTTGATTCCATTTGTAATTCCACTTGTGATTCAAGTTGATAATGTATGCTATCAAAAAGACCTTGAATTTTATCACATGATGCATTTTCATCTTGTGGAGGTAGTTTAATATATTCATCGATAAAGCTAGAAAATAAATTGACAAAATTTATTATTAAAAAAGGGGGTAAAATAAATTGTATAAAATAATTAATCTCTTAGAATAACAATATATACTCATTAACTTCTTTTGAAAAATTCTCCGGTAAATTAGGTAAAACTACTATACTTTCAGTTTTACGCTCTACTGCTTTACGTGTCTTAAGCGCCAAAATACTTTCTGCAACTTCTTTCGATCGCAAAGGTGATTCGATTACTATTGTTTGAATAGTCATGCCTTGCAAAAGGATATCGGCGTCCTTATTAATAATTTTGATTGTTGGACAATCATAAGGTATATCGGCAGGTTTTAAAATTGAGTCAAAAATTGATCTAAAGAAATCAATATTTAATGTAAATACAAATATAAATAAATATAAATATGTATGTATATATATAAAATCATAGAAATTTGTAGGTAATTTGGCAACGGAATGGTCTTTGTAGGGATAGAATGTAGAAAAAACTAACTTGCGAATCTTTGAATTTTCTTTAATATATGTAGAAATATCTGGTTCAGATGGTACTAAGCCGATCAACTTTAATGTATCCCTAAATTATTTAATTGAGAATTGAATGAGAATTATTTGAGTGATTGGAATTTTAATTGGTAAACATATGTAACAATTAGAGGATAGGTAATATATATATATATTTACTTACTGCAGAATAAAACCTGTAATACCATTCAAAGTTATTACTTTATGACCATCATCACTTGGTTGAGACACAACTACATGATCTTCGAGAAGAGCTAGATCAATTTGTTCGAAAGGCATTACATGGGACGCAGGGAGCAAGAGTGTTGCCTGAGAAAGCCCAATCCATAGTGAAAATTTGTATGGGGTGGTGTCAACCAAAAAGATACATGTTGGAAGGAATTGTCAAACTAATGCTACAAATACATACTAGGTGCAGGGTCCCATCAAAAGTCAAAAGACATGCAGTCTCCAACCTTTTTAGCAATTAACATTTGCACAATGCCTGAAAAGTCCGCATTCAATTCACGAAGTTTAGTGAGTAACAAACCGCCTACTGAGCCACCTGGTACAGGGTGAGGGGAAGAAAATCTTGGCTGTAGGGAAGACGAGGAAGAAGTTGAAGACGACGACGGAGATCTTCTAATTAGTTGACTTGACCAAGTAGAGTACACATCGCTTTCTTCTTCGTCAACATTCTGCAAGGGATGATTTGTGAGAGAATCGGTACTTTTTGTTGGTTTTAAACGGAGGGAGGCAATTTGGGGAGAGGTTATATTGGAGCCGTTGAGAGCATGGTAGCTTCTTGCAACTACTGGCGAGGGAAGTTTCGGGTATGTTTCCGTATTTTCGTCTGGATTCGAAGGTGTACTTGGTTTCTTGTCGTCCATTCTTTTTCCTGTTCAAAGATCAAGGAGCAACGAAACGGCTTCTTTATCGCGCTAACAATCTTACTGTGGCTGTGAAACAAATAATTGGCATCTTATCGTTACCAAATTATGTTCGTCAAACATATTAACATGTGATATAAGAATAGTCAATTCTGCAGTGCCACAAAATTTAAAAACTAGATTGCATTAACGTGAATCACGTGCGAGGACCAAGCAGGTTGTACACGAGGCAGTTGAGACAAATTAGATTTTTTTAAAAAAGGTAGTAGCTCAAGATTTTATTAAGACAACTTTCTTTCAGTTCTTAAATAGAAATGTTTAAATTTTAATTTCAGACGTATTTTATTATTGTTTTGATATAGCTTTTCGGGAAATCGACAGAGCAAAGTTGAGACTTCCCGAGACGGGACGGGTGGGACGGGCGGGGCAGGGCTTAAAAAGTTCGAGACAGCCAAAATGCACAACATTGTCTTATCGTTATTGTTACTGTCTAATTTTGTGGAGTTCATCGAGCTTTACCAACCAAAAGTTTATTAAAATTGATCGTTAGATGGCTTCAAATATAATAGTCTCAGGGGGTTACTTCCCTTATAATAATTATAAAGATTTACTTCTTTCTGCAAGTTTTATACCTTGATTTATTGGTTTATTTGCACCAATAACACATAACAATACATGAGGAACCTAATGTCAGAGTCAGGATTAGGGTTAGAATAGGATGAGGGATTGTTTAAAACGTAACAAGCAAAACCACCATCAATTCTTTCCTATACTTAAATATTGGTCGTCTCATTAAGCGTGATACACCAACTTGATGCATTTGAATTAAAATGTAATTATATAAACTTTTACATATTAACTTGCAATTAAATAAATATATTTGATCTTTGAAGATTTATAGAATATATTTATAAAAAAAATTAATTTAATTTTTGATTACATATTGTTTAAATCTCAAAGTTGGTTAAATTTTTTTTAAAAAAAATAAAAAATTAAATTTTTTTGACATATTTTTAAATTAGTCAATCACAATTAAGTATTTTTTTGTGTTACTATGCAGGTACTTTGGTATAACCTTAGTGTATAAACTTGCAAAATTTTAACTATGATTATTATGTAAAAAAAGTTATAATAAAAAGAAAATTGCCTATTTAAATTAGTATACTATATAAAAACTTAGTAATTTTATATAGTAAAATTAATAATACTTATATATAAATAAGTTAGTAATTATAATATTTAAAAATTTTATTTATATTTATATATAAAATAAATCTCTTAATATATATTTTATATTTATATTATCTAAAAATATATTAATTATTAAGTTTTTTTTTTAATATTAGGGTGAGTAATTGTAACCTAGGAGTCTATTGATAATCTGTTAGCATATAATTATTGTGTACAACAGCTACAGAAGCAATTATGAAAAGAATATACAACTAGCTACTCATACAATTTTAGTTATTGTCTATTTTAAGCAGTCTACCCAAAGTTCTATACTAGTTGCCATACCTAGAACCCACCTGTAAATTTTTTATTTAAATACTCTAATTCTTGTATTCACCTCTATCTTATCAATTACAGAATTTTTGCAAATATACTATGGTTACTAAGTCATATTTAACTTTATACTAAGCCTATCAGAGCCTTCTGTATCTCATACTTACAGCTGACCTAGTACCACTCTGGCCTAGATCATCACTTGCAGTTAGGACTAACCATTAAACCACTATACTCTTGTAAAGTTTACTAGGACCTAATATTTTCCTTTTCTAACTTTCATCTCCTATTTCTGGACTTACAAGACCTACAAAACTTCACAAACTACCAATCTAAATAGCCCAGTATGGTATCCTAAGATCTATTCTCTGATGAATTTGGTAGCCTAGTTGGTATATGCTTCTTTACACATGTTGTCATCCAATCTATTCTAGTTATTTTATTAATTCTTTTTTGAGGCCTTTTGATAGTTTAGTAGTACTGTCAAAAGTCTATGTTACCTCTTTACTTGGGATTTCCAAGTGGGTTTCTGGTTTTTTAGTTCCTTTGTTTTTTGTACTCAGTGGTCTTATCATAGGTTTGCACCAAAGTCTTATGCAGCATCAGTTATTGATATTCCTCTATGTAAATATAATGTTACACTTTGTATAGATGACCTAAGCTCTTATTTGAAATGGTGCAACAAAAGTTACAGATATACTAATTCAACTGATCAACAAAAACAGTTACTATAACACAAACCTATTTTCCAAAATTTATCATCCATAGGATTTGAACTCTAGACCTACTACTTGGAGGTTAACAACCTAACTATTTCATTAGATCATCATACTTCAATTATTAAGTTTATAAACTTGTTATATAAATATATTTTATATAAAAAATTACTATATTTTTTATATTTATAACTACTTATTTATAAATTATTTTTTATTTTCCAAGTAGTAGGTTGTAAGTTAAAAACCTACTAACAGTGAAATTTAGATAAACACCTATATAATATATAGATGATATTACAATGATGCCATTTTGTTAATCAGTTGAAATAAGATACCTATAAGTATAATTGTACTAATATAACTGACAGGTCATAGGGCATCTGTATAATTTTGGTTATACAGAAAAATATAAACTGATATTAGGTGATGCAAATCTAAAATAAGCTCTTGTAGTTGTATAAATTTATAAAACTAAAAAATCATAACTGATTTGATATACTGAACAGAGAAATAGCATAGATTTTTAATGATTCTATTATAAAGACTAGATCTAGAAAATGGATATCAATATAGAAGAATCGAGCAGAAAAGAATCTTAGATGAGGAGTATTACTAATCAGACTACTAGATGTTAAACTAAAAGAAAAGAAAATTGGCCTAATCTTAATATACCAAGAACAAGTTACAGTTCTTTTGGACTATTTAGATTAAAAGTCTGAGAACAAAAATAAATTATACTAAAAGTACTAGAGATATTCTATAAAGTCAATGCTATGATTTAAGTAATCTCTGTAAGAATAGTTCTTGTTAGTATTCTAAAAGTAGATAGATAATTAACAACAAGAAGCTCTCTGCATCTTACTAGCAGATGTTATATTCTGAAATATATAATGGCTTAGAAATTAGTACAAAAAAAATAGGTATTATACTGCTCAGATAGTAAACTAGTTAGGTATATATAAAAGGTTAGTTGGAATTACATTATGACATAGTAATAATCAAAGAGTTTAAATAAATAATCTTCTAGTAGGTTATAGATATAGCATTAGTATAAAACCTTATAGCAAGATATGGTGACCTAGTAAAGTGGTCAGGTTGTCAACCTCTCAAATGGTAGGTTGGGTGTTCAAATTCCATTGATGATGAAACTTTGAATAATCACTTATGTAATATTCGTATTATAGCAACTGTTACTAATGATTAGGTTAGGATACCTATAATAGCAGTCACACCAGTATGACTAGCAGGTCATAAGGCATCTGTACAATGTTGAAGTTACACAAAAGAATGCAAACTGACATATCAGATGATGCAAACACTAGATAAGTCTTTGTGGCAATGTAAATCTATTGAAATTGAGTAACAAAAAATCTATTTGGGAAGATCTGAGTAGAGAGGTAGCTAAATCTTTGATGGCTCTACTGTAAAGACTAGCTTGGTAAAACAGATACCAAGGTCTAGTATCTAGTCTTAGTAGTCAGATAGGCAAGAACCTTCAGGTTAGGAGTCTTGGAAATACCACCAACTAGGCTTCCGGAATGAACCAGAGAAAAAGGATATTAGGCTGATCTGATATACTGATGAACTGGTCGTAGTTCTACATAAGCTATCTGTATTGAAAGTTTGGTAAAAGGGCAGAAAAAAAGGCAGGATATACTAAAGTACTAGGGTTATGCTGTGAAGTAAATCTTTATAATTATT